GTGGTCATTGTTTGTATGGACTTCAGAAGACATGTGATCAATTGCACATACAGATTGTTAACTAAGGTAGAAGTCCATGGAATTGAGGGCAAATTACTGATTTGGCTCGGAAATTGGTTGAGTGGCAGGCAACAGAAAGTAAGGATAATGAATAGGTGCTCAAATTTGCAGGACGTGACCAGTGGTACCCAAAAAGGATCTGTGTTAGGGACTCATTTATTCATATTATTTATTAACAACTAAGATAATAGTATAAAAAATCATATATCCAAATTTGTTGATGACACAAAGTTAGGTGGCATTGTAGACAATGTAAACAACAGCATAGCATTAGAGGGATATTGATAGACTAAGTGAATGGGCAAAACTGTGGCAGATGAAGTTCAACGTCAGCAAGTATGAGGTTATTCATTTTGACCAAAAAAGGTATAGATGAGGGTACTTCCTAGATGGCATGAAGTTTAATACAGTGGATGTCCAAAGAGACTTGGGGGCTCAGGCGCATAGATCTTTAAAATGCTATGAACAGGTGCAGAAAATAATCAAGAAAGCTGGTGGAATCTGGCCTTTATATCTCAAGGGCTTGAACACAAGGATGCAGACATTGTGTTGCAGTTATATAAAACCCTGGTTAGACCACAACCGAAGTACTGTGGGCAGGTCTGGGCACCACACCTTAGGAAGGATATATTGGCTTTGGAGTGAGTACAACATGGTTTTACAAGAATGACTCCTGGACTTCAGGGGTTAAGTTATGAGGCGAGATTATAAAAATTATGCCTGTTTTCTCTAGAATTTAGAATGATAGGAAGTGATCTGATTGGAATCATCAAGATATTAACAAGAAAAGACTGGGTAGATAAAGATAAACTATTGCGACTGTTTGAGGATTTTACAACTGGGGGCATCATTTAAGAATTAGGGGAAGGCCATTAAGAGGGATGTTAAGAAGCATTTGACACACAAAAAGTGGTAGATGTTTAGAACTCTCGTCCACAAATGATTGTTGATGCTGGATCAGTTGGTAATTTTAAATCTGAGATAGATACATTTTTGTTAAGCAAAGGTATTAAGGGATATGGGCCAAAAGCAGGTATGTGGAGTTAGGCCACAGATTAGCATGATTACATTGTATGGTGGGACAGGTGTTCATGGGACTGAATGGCCTCTTCCAGTTCCTATGCTCCTGGTTTGCTTTCTGTGAATTCTTCGGCATGATCGGTTGTTTCCTGTGCTTGATGACATCACTATTATAGGAATCCTAATGACCCCCTTTGCACCAGCTCCACAGTAACCTCATAGAGGGGAACCCACACCAGAGAAATGACGAGATCCTTGTGGGCAACTTTCTTTGAGGTCAGAGGTCAATGCCATCACCTCCAGTGATGACAAAATCCGGATCATTTATGTCATTGAACTGGGGAATCATTTATAGTACTCAGTAAATAATAGAGGTATGATTAATGCTTTTTTAAAACAAAATCATTCACAGGATAAGGGCATTGCTAGCTAGGCCAGCATTTATTGTCCATCCCTAATTGCCCACAGAGCAGATAAGAATCAGTCACATTGCTCTGGTTCTGGAGTCACATGTAGGCCAGGCCAGTCCAGAGAAGGATAGCAGTTTCCTTCCTTAAAGGACATTAGTGAACTAGATGGGATTTTCAGACAATTGACAATGACTTCATTAGACTCTTAATTTGTTCATTAAATTTGATTTTTTTTAAAAATTGAATTCAAATTCCATTATCTACTGTTGCATGATTCAAACCTGGATCCCCTGGGAATTTACCTCAGTCTCTGAATTACCAGTCCAGTGATACCATTAGACCATTGGCTCCCTGTTGTATAGTGAAAGATGAAGTGAATCTCACAGATTTTAATCTGCTATTTATTAATAAACTGTAGGTTCTGGGAATCATTGAATGTCCATAGTGTGGAAGCAGGCCATTTGGCCCACCGAGTCCACCATGCCCTCCGAAGACTATCCCACCCAGACCCACCCCCTACCCTATACCCTATACCTGTAGCCCTGCATTTTCTGTGGCTAATCCATCTAGCTTGCACATCCCTGAACACCATGGGCAATTTAGCATGGCCAACCCACCTAACCTGCACATCTTTAGACTGTGGGAGGAAATCCACGCAGACACAGGGAGAATATGCAAACTCCATGCTGACAGTGGCCCGAGGCTGGAATTGAATCCAGGTTTCCTGGTGGTATGAGGTAGCAGTGCTAACCACTGAGCCACCATGCCACCATAATGGAGTTGATAGAACCAGCAATAACACGGTGTAGAGCTGGATGAAGACAGCAGGCCAAGCAGCATCAGAGGAGCAGGAAAGCTGATGTTTCGGGTTGAGACCCTTCTTCAGAAATGGGGGAGGGGAAGGGGATTCTGAAATAAATATGGAGAGAGGGGGAGGCGGATAGAAGATGGGTAAAGGAGAAGATAGGTAGAGAGGAGACAGACAGGTCAAAGAGGTGGGGTTGGAGCCAGTAAAGGTGAATGTAGGTGGCGAGTTAGGGAGGGGATAGGTCAGTCCAGGGAGGACGGGCAGGTCAAGGAGGCGGGATGAGGTTAGTGGGTAGGAGATGGGGGTGGGGCTTGAGGTGGGAGGAATGGTTAGGGAGGCGGGGACGAGCTGGGCTGGTTTTGGGATGTGGTCGGGGGAGGGGAGATTTTGAAGCTTGTGAAGTCCACATTGATACCCTTGGGCTGCAGGGTTCCCAAGCGAAATATGAGATGCTGTTCCTGCAGCTTTCGGGTGGCATCATTGTGGCAACGCAGGAGGCCCAGGATGGACATGTCGTCCAAGAAGTGGGAGGGGGAGTTGAAATGGTTCGCGACTGGGAGGTGCAGTTGTTTGTTGCGAACTGAGTGTAGGTGTTCTGCAAGGCAGTCCCCGACATCGGGGAAACCAAGTGGAGGCTTGGGGACCGCTTTGCGGAACATCTATGCTCAGTTTGTGACAAACAACTACACCTCCCAGTCGCGAACCATTTCAACTCCCCCTCCCACTCCTTGGACGACATGTCCATCCTGGGCCTCCTGCGTTGCCACAATGATGCCACCCGAAAGCTGCAGGAACAGCATCTCATATTTCGCTTGGGAACCCTGCAGCCCAAGGGTATCAATGTGGACTTCACAAGCTTCAAAATCTCCTCTCCCCCGACTGCATCCCAAAACCAGCCCAGCTCGTCCCCGCCTCCCTAACCATTCCTCCCACTTCAAGCCCCACCCCCATCTCCCCACTGACCTCATCCGCCTCCTTGACTTGTCCGTCCTCCCTGGACCGACCTATCCCCTCCTTAACTCCCCACCTACATTCACCTATCTGGCTCCAACCCCGCCTCTTTGACCTGTCTGTCTCCTCTCCACCTATCTTCTTCTTTATCCATCTTCTATCCAAATCCCCCTCTCTCCCTATTTATTTCAGAACCCCCTTCCCCTCCCCTATTTCTGAAGAAGGGTCTCGACCCAAAATGTCAGCTTTCCTGCTCCTCTGAAGCTGTTTGGCCTGCTGTGTTCATCCAGCTCTACACCGTGTTATCTCAGATTCTCCAGCATCGGCAGTTCCTACTATATCTTGATAGAACCAGCTCCTGGTTGCCTTCTATTTGTCAACATAGTATGTGAAGTTAACACTATGGCATGATTGCCTTCTACTGCCAACATAGTGTGTTAGATTAACATTATAAAGCTTTCTCTCTACAGATGCTGCCAGACCTTCTGAGTTTCTCCAACAATTTCTGTTTTTATTTCAGATCTCCAGCTTCTGCAGTTCTTTATTTTTTTAAGATATTTATTCCCCATTTTTAGCATTTCTGAGAAGAGTGTGAGACTGGAATCCTATCTAGGTTAGAATACTTGGGATGGCAATGACCTTTTCAACTGAGGCCATGAGTCATCTAGTTAGGTTTTTATAACACTCCAATATAGGTCAATGTCAGTTTTAGTTCTAACATAGAAGTTCCCAAATGTACAAGTTTCAGTTTCACAATTTGTCTTTGGATTTGATTCCTTGTCTCACAGCAGAATCATTGCACTTAACAACATCTCCATGAGTAGCTGGGTCACAAGAAATGAATAAAGACTATTCCAGAGTGAAACCAACAAAACAAGGGAATATCTGGGCATGAGATTTATATTTTAAGGAAGATTAGCATGTTTCTATTAAAGTGTCAGGATGATTAAATTGATTGCATTCAAAACTGAAATGAATGATCTTTGGCGGATGTGTAGGATTGTGATTAATGATTTTGAATTTCCTTTAAAGGCTGCAGTGGGCCTAAAATTATGGAAATTTTCACTCATCCTGTCATTACTGTCAAGTTTTATTCTGTACCCTGTAAAATGGGGTGGGTGCAGGAAGCACTGGTCTGGGTTTTACTTGTAATTTTTTGGAGGCACAAGTGGCACAAAAATGAAGAGAATGGGATAATCCCTGAAACCAGTTCTAGAGGCAGATTCAAGATAGACATTGTGCCTTGATTCAAAATAGGGAAGAATGTATAGGCTGCAGTGTCACTTCTGTTAGAATCAAATAACCCTGCATTTAAGTATTTTATATTCTGTAGCTTCCAAAGGAATGCTTAAACCTCCATCACCTGGAGCAATATCAATATAAGAAGTTTCTGCTGTGATTAATGCTACAACTTCACTGGTGTTGATATCACTTCCAATATCAATGACTTCTTTATGTGAAATGATGCTTTAAGTGTTTGTCAGATGTAATTTGAGACTCACAGGTTCCAGGAACTGTGCTGTTGGCAGCAATGCAATAGGATAACAGTCAACTTGTACATTGTGGCTGTTTTATTTTATATTCAGACACTGAGTAAACTTGTAATCGGCAGGTCACACTGTTCAGTCAATAATAACGCTTCATTTCTCTGTTAATACAAAATTGTTTGTTACCATTCATTTCAAACTGCATGAATAAACTTGGGCACATCCATGGACCCTGTTTCACCTTCCTTTTATTCTATTTTCCAGGTGTATTTCTTATTCCCTATTCTGTCATGCTGGGCCTTGTTGGAATACCAATGTTTTTCTTGGAGTCTTCCTTTGGGCAGTTTGCCAGCCTTGGGCCTGTTGCAGTGTGGAAATCTGTACCAATATTACAAGGTTAGAGGTTATTGAACAATAAATGCTCAGCAACAATTTAAATGCATTTTAATGTTTAATTCATATTAATAAACTAGTTATAATTGTGTGATTAAATGGGGCTGTATGTCAGCCTTGCTGTCATTCTCTTTGAAATCTGAATTTTTGTATGTTTTGCCAAGATAGGTCAGTGATTAACGCTTGATGTTAGTTTTGTTTTTTATTTTTCAAATGCTTTTGATTGTGATTGTATTCATTTCACTTAGATATAACAACTAATGTTCATGACATAGAAAAAATTCCAGGAATTTGGATTAACATTTGCGATTGCTACAAAATGAAAGAGATCACTAAGTCTTTCCTCATGTAATAACATGGCTCTTTGAATATGAAACATACTTTAAATCAGTTGTGATTTCGGAGAGTAAAACTGTGTTTTGTCTCATGATCAGTTTGCCATTATCAAATGAAGAGACATGCTCACGTTTTCACCATTATATGCAAACTGATCTGCTGTTGAGATGGTCTCTCATAGCCTGTACTGTGGAGATGTTATGTCCTTCAGGGCAGAAAATGGTTATATGGTGACACTAGCTCTTGCGTTGAGTCTAGCTTTTAATATGTATGACGTAGTCTTTTCAGGACATATAATTAAATGTTATAAGAGCTCCTGGTTGCCTTCTACTTGTCAACATAGTATATGAGGTTAACATAATGGCATGATTGCCTTCTACTGCCAACACGATGAGTGAGGTTAACTTGTAAAGCTTGCTTATCTTCTAAAATTTGCCTTTCATTTATTTGAGTCTGAACCTCATTGTTTTTCAGAGTCAACCTTTCCTTTGACCATTTAAAGCATGAAACTTGACTAGAAGCGTGCCTGTCCATTGTAAACTAAGAGCATAATATTAGCTCAAACATTTATATGCTTGAGCAATGCAATGAATGTCTGCTGGGTTCTTCAATACTACAATATCCATGCCCAGTTTCTAACATTATGGGAGATAACAAAAGCAGTGGCACATCAGGTAAAACACCCCGGTGGAGGCAAACTCACACCATAGCAAAAGCAGTTACTACCCATTAAAGACAACTTAGTGGCAGAGATTTAGAAAACAAATTGATAAACAATATGACTTTGGAAGCATAGAGTTTGGACAAAAGTTCCTTATCCTTAAAAATAATCCGTTTCTCTGAGTACAGACAGTTGTACATATCTTTAGATGGAACATTAAGCATGAGAAGAATGGAACACATTCCTTATTTTCATTAGAATGTAAATTGTTTCAAGATAAAATACATTTCTAAGATTTCTTTGGCAATAAGAAAAAGTACATTAAATGATGAAAGAGTGCACTTGATTTGGGACATAGGCCGACGCATTACAGAAGGCTTGAAACGTAGAAAGCTGTGTTGCTGATAGTTACTATATAAATGACAGTCTTTGATAACAACAATTACAAAAATCTTTGTTCTTAAGGAAAGAGCAGTATAATTTACATAGAAAAAAAAATCAGAGACACACAGTAAAAGCTGGTGCTTTTTTAAAGGCTAGGTTATGCATAACAAAAAAAACTTATATGGATTTGGCATCCAGCAACACCTTTACTGAATTTACTGTTCAAAAACTTCGTGCAGTTCTATTTTGCAGATCAAGTTATAGGTGAGCTCACGAAAAGAACTCTTAAAAATCTTGCCTTCACTCAGGGCGGCAAGGTGGCTCAGTGGTTAGCACTACTGCTTCATACAGCCAGAGACCAGGTTTGATTTGACCCTAAGGCAACTGTCTCCCTGTGTCTGTGTGTTTCCTCCAGGTGCTCCGGTTTGCTCACAATCTAAAGATGTGCGTGCTGGGCGGATCGTCCATGCTAAATTGCCCGTAGCATCCAGGGATGTGTAGATGGATTGGCCAGGGGAAATGTGAGGTTACAGGGAATGGGTAGGAGGGTGATTCCGTGTGGGATGCTCTTCGGAGGGTCGGTGTGGACTCAATGGACTGAATGGCCTGCTTCTGTACAGTAAGAATTCTATGACTTGACAAGGGGGAGCTCCATGTAATTAGCATGCCCAGTTTTTCTGGGGTCGATTGGATAGATTTTGAAGAACAGGTCAAGGTAAGAATAAACTTCAGGATGAACAGACTCCACATCATTTCAAATAGACAGAATCCTCAAACATCTATTCACCAGTTGTTGGAAGATGTTACAGCAAAGGGCATGAGTGTGGCTTTACTGGAGAGAAATTGTGAGAGAAGATTATTAAGTTAATCATCATATCCACATGAATTAAAACCATTAGGAAGGAGCATTTGTGCAAAAGAAGGGCCATAATCTTGACGTATTACTTGAGGATGGACACAAATATGAAGATATAGTGGCAGACCAGCAACAATGATATGCTTTAGGCATGGCCAATATTCTTGCACTGGTCAGTAAAGCACACAAAACCAGCAAAATCTTAAACATTTATGGTCTGTTGCACTTCTCCAAAGGCCGTCATCTATTTTTTGATATTTGTAGCATCAAGGGACATTGCTATGTGCAGGAAATCTGTTTCCAAAAGCCAAACCAGGCCCCTACAACAAAACACAGGCGACTAACAAGACAGTATAATATTTAATCACCAGCAACAAGGAAACTGTTAACAAAATGCACCCAATGCACCAATGCAAGCACATCAATGAGGTTCAGTCAACCAAAGGAAGGGCAACTTTTAAAAGATAAGCAAGCTTTACAATGTTAACCTCACACACTGTGTTGGCAGACGGAGGCAATCAGGAGCTCTGAAAGGCAGTGTAACAGAAGATAAAAGCTAAAATCAACACAGGAGCTAGTGTCACCATCTAACCACTATGAAGCCTGACTGACGCGCACCTCAGCAAGTGACGGTCCATGGTACAGGCTATGAGAGACCATCTCACAGTGTACAGCAGGGCAGCAATTGCATACATTGCGAGAATCACACTGCAGTGCCAATGTGAAGCTCTCATTGGATTCCTGGTACATTTAGATACACAATTACCAATATGTACACGGTGCAGTCTCAAATCATGACATTCAAACCAATCCCACTGTGGTGGCACAGGCCACATGTGGTGCAATTGAATTAGTCAAGAATTGACAAAGATATAACTTTGAAGTAGGAATTAAGCCAGATAGCCAAAATGATTGCATCTGACTTACAGAATGGCTTATCCAAAACATAAAGGTATTCCTCTTGATCCGCACCTTGATCATCTATACAATGAAATTAAATGTGCACTGAAGGCTGACGTGTTACACTTTGGACAATATGAGCTGTTGCCTTTGGCCGCAGTTGCAAACAACAGGGACACATGAGCATTGAAAAAATGGTTGGCATGTCAATCTATGCACTGACCAGGGATAAATGAGGATATTCAATGACTCATGAATGCATGTGAGGCATGCCAAATATATAAACAGAGGCAGCCTCTGTATGCATATGATATTTCATCCACTTTTCCAGCAAAAGTAGCAACAGACCTGTTCATATCGCATGGGGGAGATTACATCCTTGTGACAGGTTAGTTCTCTAAATCGCTTATTGTTCCATGATTTAGCAACACAATGAGCACAACTGTCACTGGCATGATAGCAGCATTTTCAGATTATTTGGTGTCCCAAGTATAGAATCTCCAAAACTGTACACCGGGCAGAGATTGTGAGTTAGAAATACAAATTCTTGGATACCAGCAAAGGTTTCTAAAATATGCAACTAACCCAAATCATAGAAATTCATTACAGCACATGGTATTACATGATGAAGGAACAGAAGCCACCTCGGAACAATTTATGACAGACCAAACATGCATGAAGAGATCAAGAGTGAACTCTTTGATGATGTTGTGTGGTGAGGTTGAGTTATAGCAACCAGCAGCAACTAACTAAGTTGTCAAACAAGTGCAGCAGGGATCAATGCATATGTTTCCAGTTGGACATACACTCACCCAGCCAGAAAGAATTGTCAAACTTTACATTGAATTTTGAAATGTTAATCTTTATACTCTATCAAATTAATTCCATGTGCATCTGCACAACCATGTTTATCTATTTTGGAAAATTTATCCTTATTCTATTGCAAAATTTTTGCGCAGACACTGTTTTACCTTAGGAATGTAATGCTTGTTTGTAATAGTGAATTGTAATACATGTTTGTTGGTCTCTTCAATCCCATGATATTCACACCCAGTTTCTTATGTTATGGGGCATCATGTAAGCATTGTCACATCAGGTAAAATACTTTGTTGAAGATAAACTCATACCAACAGTTGCTAGTCTCCTTTGAATTAAATAAAAGCTAAATCACAAGATATGGGTTAGCAGTGCAGTTAGTCCTGAGCTGCATTGAGAGCTCTAGAGCTGAAACTGTATCCTCAGGTTAAGTTGGAAAACAAGGATCCTTGGTAAAAAGTTCTAATGTGTGTATTACAAGTTGGGCCAGGACTGGGCCCAGCCAGTTAATAGTTGATGGAGTTCAGTGTTTCAGTGGTTAGTCTTTAGGTTGAAGAATGCTCACTTGGACATCAGATGAGAAGATGACCAGTGGGAATAAACCCTCAAATGAGATAGACATTGAGGAAAAGGAGGACGAGCTAAAACTATGAGGTTGTAGACTTGCTCACCAAAACAGTGTGCTTGGTTGCAATCAAACCTACCTGCTCAGTGAGCAAGTCTACAACGTCATCCACAACCTGAGCTACAAATCTTCTCAAAAACTTTAGAACTAAAACTAACTCTGGCACCTTATCAGTGGTGACAAGTTCTTTGATGAGCTTTTTTCTTATTCATTCATGGAACTTGTTTTCGCTGGCTGGGCCAGCATTTATTGCCTGTTGGTAGTTACCCATGAGAAGTAGTGGAGAGCTGCCTTCTTGATCCACTGCAGTCCATATACTGTCGGTTTACCCACAATGCCCTTAGGAAGGGAATTCCAGGATTTTGACCCAGTGACTGTGAAGGAACAGCAATATTTTTCCAAGTCAGGATGGTGAGTGGCTTGGAGGGGAACTTGAAGTTGGTGGTGCTCCCCTATATCTGCTGCCCTTGTCCTTCTAGATGGAAGTGGTCATGGGTTTGGAAGGTACTGTCTAAGAAGCCTTGGTAAATTTCTGCAGTGCATCTTGTAGGTAGTACACACTGCTGCAACTGAACGTCAGTGGTGAAGGGAGTGGGTGCTTGTCGATATTTTGTCAATCAAGTGAGCTGCTTTGTCCTGGATGGTGTCAACCTTCTGGAGTGCTCCTGGAGCTGTACCTTTCCAGGCAAGTGGGGAGTATTCCATTACCCATCTGATTTATGCCTTGTTGATGATGGACAGGCTTGGGGAGTCAGGAGGTGAGTTACTCACTGCAGTATTCCGAGCCTCTTACCAGCTGTTGTAGCACTGTGTTTATGTGGTAAGTCCAGCTGACTTTCTGGTTAATGGTGACACCCCAAGGATGTTGATAGTGATATTTAGTGATGGTAACACCATTGAATATCACAGAGCAGTGGTTCGATTGTCTCTTATTGGAAATGGTCATTACCTGGCAATTGTGTGGCGTGAATGTTACTTGTCACTTGTCAGCCCAAGCCTGGATATTGTCCAGGACTGCTTCAGTATCTGAGGAGTGGTGAATGTTACTGAACATTGTGCAATCATTGGCGAACATCCTACTTCTTACGTTATGATGGAGGGAAGGTCATTGATGAAGCAGTTAGAGATGGTAGGGCCTAGGACACTAACCTGAGAAACTCCTGTAGAGATGTCCTTGAGCTGAGATGACTGACCTCCAACATCCATATCCAACTTTCTGTGTGCCAGGTACGACTCCAACCAGTGGAGAGCTTGCCCTTAGGTACTCATTAATTCCAGTTAGCTATGGTTCCTTGATGCCACACTTGGTTGAATGCGGCCTTGATGTCAAGGGCGGTCACTTCCACTACTCCTCTAGAATTCAGCTGTTTTTTTCATGTTTGAACCAAGGCTGTAATGAGGTCAGGAGCTGAGTGACCCAGGAGGAACCCAAACTCGGGATCATTGAGCAGGTTGTTTCTGAGCAGGTGCTGCTTGATAACACCGTTGATGACACCTTCTGTCACTTCACTGATGATCGAGAGGGTGGACTGATGGGACAGTAATTGGCCAGAAACAAAAACGGAAGTTGCTGGAAAAGCTCAGCAGGTCTGGCAGCATCTGTGAAGAAAAATCAGAGTTAACATTTAGGGTCCGGTGACCCTTCCACAGAACAATAATTGGCCAGGTTGGATTTGTCCTGCTTTTGTGTACAGAGCATACCTGAGCAATGTTTCACATCATCAGGTATATGCCAGTGTTCTAACTCTACTGGAAGGCCTTGGCTAGGAGAGTTGCAAGTTCTGGAGCACAACTATTCAGTACTGTTGCTGGAACGTTGTCAGGGCCCAAAGCCTTTGCACTATGCAGTACCTCCAACTGTTTCTTTACTTCATCTGGAGTGAATTGAATTGGCTGAAGGTTGGCATCTGTGATGCTGGGGACCGCTGGAGGAGGCCAAGATAGATCATCCACTCATCACTTCTAGCTGAAGATTGTTGCAAATGCTGATCAAATCTAGCACCTAATGAGACAATGGCAATAATAGAGGGATAGTTATGAGAACAGAACAATGTTCTCTTGTCCAATTCTTGTTTAGGTTCTGAACCTAATCCTCTGTAACTTTATCATAATTTCTGAACTCTGAGTCTGGCCTGTACTTATCTTTCCTGTTCTTGAATATAAAGTTGATGGCTTGTTGTTAACCTAATAAGTTCAAACTGGGGAGGCACAAAATCAATCATCCATGGCTGCCTTATCTCAAAACACTGTCTCCTCTTTTCTCTCTCAAATTGCATTAAACATATTCTCGTTGGAAATACATTACAATTCAATTCAAAAGAGCAATTTTATTTCAAATTAATGGTACTGTTTCTAACGTCTTTTTCCTTTGTTCAATTTTAAGGTGTTGGAATCACCATGGTCCTTCTGATTACAATTGCCAATATTTCTTATGCCTGTATCATCAGCTACAGTCTGTACTACCTGTTTGCTTCCTTCCAATCACCCCTGCCGTGGGCAGACTGCTTCAGTTGGTGGGGAGCAGATGAAACATGCAGCAGGACTTCCAAAGGTACAGTGCTCACTTCTAGTGGGAACATTCAGTAACTGTATTTCATTCTATTGATCTGAGATAAAATAATCAATGGTTTTGGTGACCATCTTCATTATGGTTGTACAACACAGCTGCAAGGATCATGTCACTGAGTCACTGAAGTGAAGGATTGTCAATAACAATTGTTTATAGACAAGAAAGATGCTTCAAAGAAACTAATTCATCATTCTTTTAGTATTGCCCCTGTTGGTCATCCTTAGCAGCTGTACTCTACCTGGACTATGGATATAGGGATGCTAAGATAGTTCTAGCCTTTTATTATCACTACCTACATTATCACTTTAAGATTTTGGAGAAGATTTGTAGCTCAGATTGTGGATGAGGCTGTAGACATGCTCGCCGAGCTGGTGGGTTTGGTTGCAAATGTTTCATCACCCTGCTAGGTAACATCGTCAGCATGCCTCCGGTGAAGCGTCGGTGTTCTGTCCCGCTTGTTATTCATATGCCTCAGTTTGCTGGGGTGGTTGGTATTATTTCCGATTCTGTTTCCCAGTGGTTTGTACACAGATTCTAACTCAATGTCTTTATTAATGGAGTTCCAATTAGAATACCAGGTCTCCAGGAATCCCCTTGTGTGTCTCTGTTTGGCTTGTGCGATTATGGATGTGTTGTCCCGGACGAATTTGTGTCCCTCATTGTCCATGTGTAGCCGTGCCCTAGCAGAGTGACAAAACATTTGCAACCAAATCCACTGGCTCGGTGAGCATGTCTGCAACCTACATTATCACTGTCTGGTACAGAGTTCAGTTTTTCAGTTTGTCTCCAACTCAGGCTCATCTATGTCAAAATTCTCACTCAATATCATCAGTAACACCAACAAATGATTTACATTCACCCTTTGACCCACAGAATTTGGATTGGATGTTGGATTTTGGACCCGAAAGAAAGTTTGAAGGTCAGGGCCAGGACACAGATTTCAAACATCATTGGTTTTGCAAATGGGAGTGAGAATGGCAGCAAGTTTCAGAACAATGTATGTGATACACAAAGAAAGATGGTGGGACAGATAGTGTTTGGAGAGGCAGAGAGGATGCAGAAGGACTTGGACAGACTAAGAGAGTAGACTAAGAAGTGGCAGATGGAACAGAATGTGGCAAGTGTGAGGTTATGCACTTTGGTTGGAAGAATAGAGCGAAGATTATTTTCTAAATGGTGAAAGGCTTCGGAAATCTGAAGCACAAAGGAATTTAAGAGTGATCGTTTAGGATTCTCTTGAGGCGAATGTGCAGGTTCAGTTGGCTGCTGGGAAGGCAAATATATTTTTAGAATTTATTTTGAAAGACTTAAAACGCAAGAGCAGGAATATACAGTTGTGACTGTAAAGGCTCTGTTCAGATAGCATTTGGCATATTGCAAGCAGTTTTGGGCCCAGTATCTAAGGAAAGATGTGCTGGCTTTGGAGAAGGAGGAGGCTTACAAGAATGATCATGGGGATGAATGGTTTGTAATAGGAGGAGCGGTTGAGGACTCTGGGTCTGTACTTGATGGGGTTCAGAAGGATGAGAGGGATCTTATCGAAACTTACAGAATACTGAGAGGCCTAGATAGGGTGGACATGGAGAAGATGTTTCCCCTAGTAGGAGAGACTAGGATCTGAGGGCACAGCCTCAGAGTGAAGGGATGATGCTTTAGAGCTGTGATGAGGAATGATTTCTTCAGCCACAGGCTGTGAAACTCATTTCTGCAGATGGTTGTGGAGGCCAACTCATTGAATATATTTAAGACAGAAAGATAGGTTCTTGATTAACAAGGGGATCATAGGTTATGGGGAGAAGGCAGAAGAATGGTGTTGAGAAACATATCAGCCACAATTGAATAGCAGAGCAGGCTTGATGGACCAAATGGCATATTTCTCTTCCTATATCTTGTAGTCTTATGATCTTATTTTACTTCAAAAATTTTTTGAGTCATCTCTCTCTGGGTTACCAATGTGTGACCTGCAGCTGGTGTTAATTTTAAGTACCAATGGCCTACGACTTGCTTCAGGTGTGAGTGAAGGACAACAGTGTTTGTCCTTATACAATACAATGGGAGGTGCTGTTCTAGTCAGAAAACCCTGTACATATTCTTTCTGCCATTTTACCTCTCAAGAGAAGGTCTGAATCCTCGAAAACAGTTAATTATCTTTCAGATTTTACTCACGATACCTGTTCATTCCCATATATCTGCATTTTGGACTCACGTTCCCATCTGTGTCTCTCTGCATGGGTCCAGGAAGTTATTCTCAATCTTTCTTTATTATAAAGCACACTTTACAAGTTTGAAGCCTGGGAAGTGATCTTATTGGAGTTATGGAATCAGAATTAATTACTTATCAGGATTGATATTCATTTTCTGATCCATTAATGGTAGTTTATCACAAGGCTTTCGAGGGCCTTGTATTACAGTGGTAACGTCCTGACCTCTGACCCAGAAGGTTCATTTCCACTCACCCCAGAGGTGTGTCATAACAAGTGTGAACAAATTGATCAGGGGATGTGGCTGCCATTGTCTATGCCAACATTCATTGTTTATCCCAAATGCCCTTGATAATATGGTGGTGAACTACCTTTTTGAACCACTGCAATGCGTGATAAAGGTAATCATGGATATATATGTTGAAAATGTCAGGACTTAGAATTTGTGCATAAGATGTGGACATGAAAATAGAGTCCGATGTTTTCGAAAAAAAACCCTCAGAAATGTGTCAATATAATAGCTGACGTCTTGTGTGAGGAATTGGGGTCAGGAATCTGAGACCTGAGATCGAGATCAGACAAAGTAGGGAGGCTGTGGTATTGCCCCTGAGGGGGTGGGAGATCTTAGAGCTCAGTGATTGGCTGATCCTTCCTGAGTGGGCCTATGGTTAGCACAGACCAATCAGATCTGAAGGGGCACAGTTAGCACCTATGCAGAAAGTTCTTTGCTCATTTCTCTCATCTGTTTGTGCTCCACAATGCTGACTTTGTTTTTGGCAGCTCCACACATAGTGTATGAGGTACTTCTCTTAATAGCCCTCATTGCCGCTGTCATTAGTGTGAACTGGGGGAGTCCGGTGTGGAATACAAGGAGGGAGTTTCAGTAACTGTACCTAGGATGTACAGTCTGGATAGTATGAGGGACCAATTTAAAGTCATTCATAACCAATGGTGGCTTGAGGGGAAACAGCGAAAGGTTAGGATTGGGTTTTCATTGCCTGAGAGTGTGGTGGAGGTTTCTTTTAATCAAGACATTCAAAAAGGAGCTGGATTATTATTTGAAAAGGATGGGGGTTCAGAGTTACAGGGTGGAGGAACTAGGTGAAATTCTCATTTGGAGTTCTGGTGCAGACACAACAGTTTGAGTAGTCTCATTCTGTGCTATAATAATTTGATGATTCTGTGTGCTGTTACAAAATGGTGATCAACAAAAACATTGTGGCTAGGTCCCTGTGTGATGTTCTTTCACACGCAGGATGTGCTATCGAGTGTCACAGGATGTACCTTCATGGAGTGGGAGCATTTACTATTCGTGTACCTATTTGTATGTTAAGGGAGCTTTTGGGCCACTTAGGGGCAGCATGGTGGCACTGTGGTTAGCACTGCCTGCCTCACACCACCAGGGACCCAGGTTTGATTCCACCCTCGGACAACTGTCTGTGTGGAGTTTGTACATTCTCCCCGTGTCTGTGTGGGTTTTCTCTGGGTGCTCTGGTTTCCTCCCACAGTCCAAAGATGTGCAGGCTAGGTGGATTGGCCATGCTAAATTGCCCATAGTGTTCAGGGATGTGTAGATTAGGTGGGTTATAGGGAGGTGGGTCTGGGTGGGATGCTCTGGGGGTCGGTGTGGACTTGTTGGGTCGAAGGGCCTTTTTCCACACTGTAGGGATTCTATGATCTTCTATGATCTATGATGATTGCACCTACCATTAGTACCAAACGGTTTATGGAAGCCAGTAATTGAAAAGTTCAATTTTCTTTGATGTCATTGGATACCTCTATTGGACATGGTGAGTTGAAAATCCACCCTCCTGGCAAACAGCAGGCCAGGCAGAGTGAACCCACATGTTGTGCCACTGCCCTCCTCCCTCCCAACACTTGAGAAGGCCAATTGCAGCCAGCATATCCATTTAAGACATCACTTAAGGGAGTCAGTTTGCCTCTGGAAGGAAAGGCAGTCCTCAAGCAATCCCACCATGGGTTCAACGAGCGGACACTGGGAAGAAGATAGGCTCTCCATTTCACAGTTTCCTGCCTCAATCCATGCCTCTGATTCCACTTCATATAATGAATGGGGTTGGATTAGGTTAAATCTACCCAGTGACCCTGATTGTACCACCAGAAATGACAACATTGTTCAACAAGGAACTGTAAAATTCTAAAACGCTTTCAACTTTTCCCAGATCCATTCTGCAACTTTACTCTGGACGATGGATATTTTGAAATTGTTAATACAACATGGCTGCAGATGTACAATGAAACTTGTCCAAATGGATCAGAAATCTCTTTTCCTCACCAGGGTCCGGGTGAACAATACTGGGAGTAAGTACAGTTGTTTAGTACGACAGAATTTGAATATTGTTGACAAAGGACACGTTATGTCAAAACTTCCTGTCTTCCATTCATTCAGAAGATTTGCAAGAAATGTTAAAGTGAACGGAAAATAACAGAAACAAAAACAGAAATTACTGGAGAAACTCAGCAGGTCTGGCAGCATCTGCGGAGAGAAAGCAGAGTTAACATTTTGGGTTCAGCAACCCTCCTTCAGAATTGGACCTGAATCGTTGACTCTGCTTTCTCCCCATAGATGCTGCCAGACTTGCTGAGTTTCTCCAACAATTTCTGTTTCTGTTTCAGATTTCCTGCATTTGTTTCATTTTAGTGGAAAATAACTGGTATGCTGTATGTGAAGAGAGTTCTGATTGGTTGGCATGTGAACTCTGATTGGTTGAGTTATTGCCATGAGGAATGTGCCCATTGGAGCTGATTGACATTTACCGGGAAGATTTTGTTTAAATTTAAACCAGGAGGTTGATAGATTGGTCAGGGCAATGCCCGAGTTAATGGCTATCGCCTATTTTGTTCATTTGAATTGGGGCAGAGCCTTGTAAATATTCTTTCTGTCTACAAAGAAGATCCCTATGTATTAGTATACATAATTTCCAGTGCATGCAAGTGTGCTATGCTGAAAAGTCATAATTGTAGCTTTATCCTAAACTTAATGTAAGTGTAATTATTTGAACACCCAGGATTACACCTCTGACTGATTTCCCAACTAGAACTCAAACAAAGAGGGTTAATTTGACTATTCCATTTCAAATACAATTTTGAGCACAGGGCAGAGACCATTAAGGCATGCCAGGACTTTTTTACATGCAGTTGCAGATTCAAATACAGCAAACGTACCCACACTATTTTTTTTTTAAAAAGCATTTATCTTTGTACAAATGTTAATAGAAGTAGAGAGAAAAATCATAAAGGATACCAAAATTCAGTAACCGTTCTCTTATTTAAAAGTAGGACTTATTCTGTTCCAACTTAATATTTTTAAAATCCTTGTACATTGCACTAAATACTCAGATACATTGAATACATAGTATCTCTGTGTAATAAACAGTACCCTTATTAACATTTCTTTTTTTATTATTCAGCAAAGCAGTTTTGCACCGTACAAGTTCATTGGATGAGACTGGGGAGATAGTCTGGTATTTAGCTCTCTGTCTACTTCTAGTCTGGCTGATGGTTGGGGCAGCAGTTTTGAAAGGAATCAAATCTTCAGGAAAGGTAAATGATTGGCAATGAAGAGAATTAAAACTGGTGACAAAGTACAGATTTCTGTAAGATTAAAACTAGAACTTATTGATCGTTTGTGAAGTGCATGATTTATCTCCCAGGATGTTAACAGTGTCTCTTTTGGAATGGCGGTGGGGAGATCCATAATTCATCAACACATCAGGCCTGAGGGATATCTGAAGATCTTTCTCCTGGGGGAAAGAACAGGAGTGTCTCCAGAACTAAAACTGACGGTTTGAGACCCTGAGTGGGGATGCAACCTCTTGAGCCACATCAGGCCTAGCCCCTCATGGAGGGAAGTTCCATACACAGTCTCACATTTACAACTGCTCAGATCATGATGTTAAACAGCTTACAAGCTTATTTCATGCATGAATTGCAAACTTAGAAGACCACAGGTTCACTTAATGCATTCAGTCGTGACTCAGCAAAAGAACTGGTGTACATTTGCAGGAAGCAGTCCATGTGAAAGTTATTTGAATGATCAGGCACCCAACTTGCAGGTAATATGATGTAGAACAACATCTGCTATTGCGTTGTTTAAGGTTTAAATGCAGAGGAATGTTTTCAGAGGTGTCATGGTGAGTTGCTGATTTGGACAAGCAGTGACACTGGGCAGATAAAAGACTATGTTCCCTAGTCACACACAGGCTGCAACGAATTTGGAGGCAGCAATGACAAGATGGTGAGAAGCAGTATATTTTCACTCTGGTTCTCCTCCGATGCCTTCTACTGTGTACGTGATCTTGTCCTGCAAGAGATAGAAAACAGGAAGTGATTTCTTGTTCAGTAGTCATCAGTAGTTTCCACAGAGTATAGCTCCCCTTTGAGGGGAGACTGCCTTTAAGAGGAGCAGATATGTGCTCATGCTGCTCAATTACCTGTCAAGTGTTCAGCCAAGAACTGTGGGTCCTGCTGTGAATGACACAACAACCAGTGAAATGAAGAAGCTGAAATAAGTTTGAAAAACTGCTTATCTTAATAAGAACAGACACAAATTGGAATACCTACATCTGAAAATTGAACCTAACCAAATTTTAGCCCCAGCAATTTCCCTAAACCCCTGAAATGTGTCCCTCATTCTGAGGGTTTCAGTGACTGATACAGGGACTCTGGGGAATTTCTAATTGCTCTGGAAGGCTGGGCAGGACTGGGGGAAATGGTTTTGCAGATTAGGGTCAGGGTTTTATTTGCTATTTTTCTGGACTATTAGAATAATAAAGAAACCTGAAATGCAAAATGTTGAATATATTCATGATGGTCTCATCAATTCTCCTGAATAAATCTGTCATTTCCCTGAATGTGATTAATTATAAAACTAAAATTAATATTGTAGAATTTTCAACATGTAGCTCTCTGATTATATTCCTATTAGTTTACAATCAGTTGCATCCATTAAAGTAAATGTTGTACCGGCAATACAGGAAACTCTAAGAATTTACTCTCCATTCTCAGGCTGTTCATTCCACTGTAATGATCCCATATGTGGTTCTGACCATACTCCTGATCCGAGGGGTTACCCTGGAGGGAGCCTCTGAAGGAATTGACTTCTACATCGGAAGCCAGTCAGACTTCTCCAAACTGGCTGACGCTGAGGTGAGTTCAACAACAGAATTGGTTGAATATCAGAAGTCTTTTATTCATTTAATTGTTCCTTGTTTTTATCTGCTTGAGATGTTAAAATTTAAAATTTGAATGTTACTTTCGACCTCTTGTTTGAATGCGGGAAAATCGTTTGCAGATGTTCCGATAAGTTAACTGAGACTTTGTGATGAATTCTAATGAGTTAGTTTATGGTTGTAGTCATCTTGGTATGAACAGGAGGGAAATGATGCCAAGGGCTAGGACGATGAGATTGGAAACAATTGGATGAAATCGGCAGTGGGATACAAGGATTGTTTATTCTCAGTGCCTCTTTCTTTCAGTTAAAATCACTTATGAAACTATGTCATCAATATTTGTTTAATATACATTTGTGGGATGCGGGTGACGCTAGCTGGCCAGCATTTGTTGCCCATCCCTAGTTGCCCTTGACATCTCCTGACTTGTTTAATGTCAATTGTTACAAAGTTGGGTGGATTAATTGTGATGTGGAAGGCAGGAAGCTATAATTGTAGTTCCTTTAAGAGATTAGTGCTTTGTACTTAGAATTCTCTTTTAAATTTGTATGTCTGTGAGCAGCAGCTGACGTTGCCAGTACAGAGAGCCTCAAAAAGCGAAACAAGTGTACCAAAAATGCCTTACAGGTGGCAGGCAAAACATCAGTCTTGTTTTGATGTTGTGACAATGAATTTGAATTTGGCCAATTGAGTTGAATGAAGCACCTAGAAACAGAAAGCCAATTGAATTTAAATCTGATGGTGTTGACAACCTGAAACCAATAATATTATAAGAATTTGATTATGTCATTACGGGTATATAAGACGAGGGCATTTGGAAAATCAGACAAATCCAACTGCCACCTACCTGAGTTAGCACATTCAGCTCTTGGAGAAAGCCCATCGAATTAATTGAAGGTACCATGGTATTTTAGCTCAAAGTCCTCATTGAAGAAATTATAGACATAAAATTTCCCTGAAAGCAGAAGTAACGGAAGAAAGGCATTTGTGAAGACAGCGGAGATGACAGAAAATCCCAGAAGACAGTATGTGTGAACTTGGAAAGATTAAGCTTTAGTTTATTGCTTCTTATTAATTGGGTATATTAGTGGGACTTGTCTTTATTTAAACAGCATTCCAATTAGGGAGTTGTTAGTAGTCTAGGAGGGGATTGTTGGTTTGTTCGTAGTTTTGTTAATTTGTTCATTGTTGGGTTAAACAAATAAATTGTTTCTTGTGACTTGCAAAATGGAGATCAGGAATTTTCTTTTAACCACTCTTTTAATAGATTACGAGGGGAAAGATGAGTTTCTCTGGGTGTTTTGGGAGTAATTATTAGAGGGGAACCCCTACTCCTGTCATAACAGATTGGAGCTTGTGTTTTAGTTTAATTATCAGAGGGCTTTGGCCATTCCCTGTTGTAACACAATGATATTTCATGTTTATCTAGCAGTGGAAGATAGAATTGTCACAATATCATCTGTACCTGGGATCTGACTGTAGACAGAAGGCAACTCAGCATCTGCTTAAGCAAGTAATTTGTAGGATTGCAAAATTTACAGCACATAAACTGAGACAGTGAAGGAAATCTAACTCTCAGTGGATGAACACAGTGTAGTTCAGGAATAAAATGCAGAATTTTATGCTCTTCCAAATGACAATTTTGGTAGCAGCGGCCCATGGAATTGGGTGGGAAAGTATCTGTCAGGAGCTTCTTGCCTCTCGTCAGACTATTGTGGTGGCAGGAAGGTTCATGGATGGATTTTGATTCTCTGCCACCAGTTACGGTGTTTAAGTGGCCAATGAATGCCCATTGAAGGGTCTCTTCCCTGGTTCAGCACCTACGTATAGGGACCAGGGGAAACATCATGAGGGAAGCCTAAAACAAAATCCTGGTGGATTCATTTCGGGCTTCCAGGAAGGCAGTTTCACCTGTTCAATACCTGTTTGAAGGATTCTACTTCTTCTTGTAGGAGGGAGGGCTGGGCGAAGCTGCTGAGATCTAAGATCCTTGTCTTTCATTTAATCTTCCCCTCCACCCTCCCCAACCGTCCTTCCACAGCAACAATAGTAATGTGACTCCACACATGTAATAAGTAATTTACAATGCCAAGGAAGATTAACTATCAGTAATATCAACATTTTATCAAATGGCGACTGAGATTTGCAATAACCAGTTTCTTTTTTTGAGCTTAATTCGAAGGTACAGTGCATGTACAGAAATTTCATGCTGAACAGTATTTGTAAATATCAGGGGATGCCAGTTTTCAAACAGCAGAGTGGTGCACACCAGGTATTTCTCTGAATTTCTGAGTGCAACCTGAAATTGTTGTGGGATTTATACAGAAATAGCAGGGAGCACCTTTTGCCTCACCGTATAAGTTTTAATTGGTTGATTACAAATGAGCACCCAGTTTGACATTCATTCCTATTTTAATTCAGATTTAAATCATTTATATGATCCAGATTAACCCCAGCGTGTGCAGTTTACATTCGCCTTACAGAGAGCAGTGCAGAAAAATAGTAATGTCTTTATGGAAGATCTGATATTTAATCTAGTGGCGTCTTATTTCTGTTTGATATGAGTCTTAGTTTTGGGGGGGAAAATCTTTCCTTTGCTGTTTTCATGAAGAAAATGGAGGTCACTGGGTGACAAGGAAACAAACAAAGTCACTCTCCAACAAACATGACTAACTGTGGAAAACATCAAATCTCCTGGAGGGAAGTTGGCAGCAAGGAGTCGAAGGGAGATCGAATGATGGCCCCACTATTTAGTGGAAATAGTGTTGATCAGAGCGAGGTAATTCAGTCAGATCACTAGTAAGCTGCTGGACTAATTCACTCTTTGTGGTCAATGTAGTTTTTCAGTTGAATGAGTTCAAGTGAAATCTCCCTGTGATGATGAATTCTGTCTTCTATTTACCAGGTGTGGAAAGATGCTGCAACACAAATTTTCTACTCGGTCTCAGTGGGTTGGGGCAGTTTAATCACATTGTCATCCTACAACAAATTCCACAACAACTGTTATCAAGATACCATCGTTGTCTGTGTTGTTAATTGCGCTACAAGTGTGTTTGCGGGATTTGTCATCTTCTCCACTCTTGGACACATGGCTCATGTGCAAAACAAGCCTGTTTCAGAGGTTGCACAGTCAGGTAAACGCAGGGTTAAACATACTGTACTGCTGGAGAATGGCACATCATGAAGTGTCTCATTTGTTAGACATGTATGGGGGACAATAGGGCACCTGGGACTGCGTATATTTTGCATTGAGTCAATGGGATTAAAGGATTGAGAAAGCAACAGATGAATGATTGAGAAGGATGGTAACAGGCCAAAGGCAAACACAAGAGAGGTGCTAAGAGAATTCAGTAAAGGAAATATCAACTTCTTCTGTATTATTGGAATCAGTGCATGATAAAGTTCTCATGGAATGAGTTTGTTTATTGGTGGCTTCTATTTCTGGATTTGATAACTTGGGAATGGTGCAGTAATTATTTCAGTGGTGAATAGATTACAGGACAACCTGCGTATCTGTTTGGGGACGACCATACCAACCACCGACCTTCTTCCTCCTCCTGGTCCTTCTCCCAAGGTGCATCTGAAGTCCTGGAAGCAAGTTTTGACAGATGCAGCAAACTTCTAGTGATTTGGAGATGTCCTCCATTGAACTTTATTTGACACATTAAGCCAGTGGCTTGCTCCACCATGTTCCCATTGGTAACAAGTGTCCCAGCAGTAGGCCAGCAAGAGAAGGCCTGGACATTCCAGCTGCTCCAAACTCCTTGCTAAAAACTCACCACTGCCCTCTAATAACACTGAAGCTGGAGGAGTGCATTGTCTCCCTCTCATCTACTACTCCGCTGATAACAGCATTAATTTAAATGTTTTACCCAGTAACCAACATGAGCAATGATATAACTTAACTAGATTGGGTTTAGACTTAGATCCATCAACCAGGTTTCTATAAAATTATTAGAGACAAACTGCAGAAGCTGGAATCCAAGGTGGACACAGCAAGCCAGGCAGCATCTGGAGGAAAGGAGCAGTCAACGTTTAGGGTACTCGAGTCCTGAAGAAGGGTAATACCCAAAATGTTGACTGCTCCTTTCCTCCAGATGCAGCCTGGCTTGCTGTGTTCTTCCAGCCTCCTGTTTGTTTTCTTTAAAATTATTGATTCATTATGAAAGTAGCACTTATTCAGCAAGTGTGTAGAACCAGTTAACGTAGTTTGAGAAATGAAATTATAAGCCTTCTACATATGCAACTCACAATTACCACGTCACAATTTCACCATTCTGAATTATTCATCTCATTCCCAAACGTGTATCCTTATGTTCAGGGTGCGCCATATGGTGTGTTCCAGAAGTAACTGGAATCTTCCAGCCAAGACATTTTGAATTTGGCTAAACATTAATGACTGTAAGGAATTAAAAGTAGCGGTGTATGTCAATTGTAAGCAGGATTAATACTGTCATTTGTCTTGTATCCATTGTTTAGGTTTGGCTTTAGCCTTTATTGCCTACCCAGAGGCCCTTGTACAGTTGCCGTGGGCAACTTTATGGTCCATTTTATTTTTCTTCATGCTGATCACTCTCGGGCTTGACACACTGTTTGCAAGTTTTGGTAAGAATGACATCTTTTAAGCTTAACAACAATGTTACTTAATTTAACCAATCTTCTTACACTTTTTTTTCATAAAAGGAACTTACCTAAATTATGTTTGGAATCTAGGGTTGGGAATTACTGTTGGTGATTTTATTGCACGAGAAAATAATGTTACCCTATAGTCATATTCTCCACAATCCCTTAATGGAACCTCAGCCTGATTGACTGAAATGTGTTCCAAGTTGCAAAGAAATACTCAGGTCAATATTACCTAACATCTGGAAGATTTGGAATGGAATTCATGTTTAATTATTTTTCTATCTGCCTTCATGTTCAATCTCCCTGTTGAGCATTTATTTCCTTTCCTTGTTATATAATACAACTTGTATTTCTGCTTCTGGCCAGTTTCTGCTGCCACGTTCTAGGTGTCTGAGTATAATATATATAATTTTTGATGTCCGTCCAAACCCTCCTTATCAGGAACAGGATCTGTTAAAGTGCATTGAGCAACAGTCATGATTTGATTCAGTTACTGGACTAATCTGGAAGCCTGGATCAATGGCCTGGAGACATGAGAGAGCAAACCTCACCTCTGTCAAAAAAGAACTGCAGATTTTGAAATCAGAAACACAAACAGAAATTGCAGGAAAACTTCAGCAGGCCTGACAGCATCTATGGAGAGGAAACAGAAAATAGTGTCCTGAAGCGGGGTCACTGGATCTGAAATGTTATTTCTGCTTTCTCTCCACAGATGCTGCCAGATCCGCTGAGCGTTTCCAACAGTTTCTGGTTGTGTTTCAGCTCTGTCTGAGGAATTTGAGTTCAATCAAATAATTCTGGATTAAACAGCACTGCTGTCAGTAATTTTGACTGTAGAGCTTTCATTGTGTCAGAAAAACCCATCTGGCACCTGATGCCTTTTACACAAGGAGATTGTGTAGATGAGGACTACTTAAAAAAAAAACCTCAGAACCATAGTCATATGCTAGACCCTGAAATCCTTGATGTGCATTTTGCTTCAATGCTTTGTTATTAAAGAATCCAACAGAATATTTATTGCAGGTCACTGTTATATGCAAACATTATATTCACATATACTTCTTGGTTAGTACGAAACTACTCAATTACAACATGCCGTGCAGTTTGTCAGTGTGTCATGCTTCAGGTGGCTCCAGTCAAGATGTATTCTGAGACCTTTTTACTCTTAGGTCACATAATTATGCAGGTTTAAATCATGTCTTACAGGATAAACTTACGTACTAAATGTGAAGCATAAAACAACACTCCCCTCTGAAATAAACTGGAAAGCCACTCAGCTGTGGCTCATTGCTTTGATAGTAAAAATAAACCAGATGAACTGCCTGGCATTGGAAACAACAAAGACACAATCTTCCTAGTCAATGCTGCAAACTCTTCTGCAGTAGAATCTGGGCAAGCTCTCCGACACATTGTTGACCCAACTGTCTATTGTAGTTCTCACTGGATCATAGCTCACAGCCCATATCTCAATCTTCCATCACCCACCCTGAGATGGTGAGTTACTGTCAGGAGACATTGGCAAGCCTCCATATCCCAAGATTCCACCCATGGACAGAGAAATCTCTTCTCATTGACTCCTCCCGTCTTCTTGGCTGTTGTCTCTCTGGTGTAGATCAATAATTAATCATTGAGAACATTCAACCTTTTTATTTCAATAGGAACAGTAATGACAAGCCTGCTGGACCAGTTCCCTGAGTTCCTCCGGTCAAAGCGTCTTTATCTGACAGCTGGTGTTTGTTTGTTATTTTATTTCCTTGGCCTTGTGTGTGTAACACAGGTAGGTTGTAATTTGGTCATTTGCTATGTTTCCACATGAACAATAAACCCTCTCTCGACAAGATACTCAGTAAAATGAGAGACTTTTTCATTAATTAAAAAGAATTCAAGTTCAGTCTAAATAGGCTTCCGGCATTTAGAGCCCCAGCTCTGGTTTAGTTTTGGACCGGGCATGATCATAAAAATGGACAGTCAGCGATCCAGAATAAGAAGAATTAACTGGGGGAGAGTTATCTTCAATGGGGCAAGAATTGAGCTGGGCCAGAGAGACTGGAATAAAACTATAATGGGAAAAATAGTTGCTGAATAGTGGGCTACCTTCAAAATAGACATGACTCTGGTACAGTCAAGGCACCTTCTCTCAAAAAGCAAAGGGAGGACAACAAATCCAGAGCTCCGAGGATGAAAAAAAATGGCGATAGAATATAAAATGAAGAAGAAAAAGTGAGCTTGTGACAACTATCAGACAGAAACTTCAAGAGGAATACAGAGGTTCAGAGGGCAAGTGAAAAGCATGGTATAGAAGTGAAGGGGGTTTATGAGAAGATTATGGTAAAAGGTAAAGCCACCATGGACCTACTGGGCCACAGAGAGGCAACTAATGGTGGTTTAACCCGAGAATCATCACACCTCAGGCAAGGAGAGAGGTTGAGAAGGAAATTCCTTCATGGTAGCTTCAACTGGTGGGGGAATTGAATGTGTGCTGCTGCCATCACTCAGCATCGTAAACCAGCTGTCCAGCCAAATGTACTAACTGCAGCTATCCAGCCAAATGTACTAACTGATCAGCAAAGGCTGACAGCCAAACATAACAAGGGATTCCAAAGTCTTCTATGGGCACATTGATAGTAAAAGGTGGAGTTGAGTCAATTAGGGCAAAAAAGGTGATTTACACATAGAGTCATAGAATCCTACAGTACATAAGAGGTCCTTTGGCCCATTGAGTCTGTACTACAAAAATTACATTACTTCTACACTAATCCCACTTTCCAGCCCTTGGCCCATAGCCTTGAAGTTTAGGACATATGTAGATAAGAGGTATGACTGAGGTGTTAAATGAATACTTTGCATCTATTTTTACCAAACAGGTAGGAACTACATCAGTCATTGTGACAGAGCAGGAAACTCTGTCACTATAAGGATCAATATTCGTAAGGAGAACGTTTTGAGTAGGCAATCAATACTCAAATTGACAAGGTCTGGAAGCGGATATTATACAGCCAAGAATATTGAAGGAAGCAAGCTTGGAAATTGAAGGGTCATTGACCATAACCTTTCAGCCTTCCCTAGACTCAGGGGAAGTGCTAAATGGTTAGATAATTGCAGATGTCATGCCTTTGTTCATAAAAAAAATGTGGTGAGGATAAGCCCAGCCATGACAGACATACAATTTAACTTCAGTGATGGGTAAAAGTCCAGAAACGATTATTAAGGATAGAATCAGTCACACAGAAAAAGATATGTGTTGATTTGGAATAGTCAGTGTGGATTTCTAGAGGGCAAATCATGGCTGATAGTTCTTGAAGAGGTAATAGAAAGGGTCAATGAGGGTAATGCTATTGATGTGGTGCACATGAACTTCCAAAGGTACTTTAAATGATGTCACACAAGAGACTTAGGAGGCAAGTTATAGTTCATGGAAAAAAGGAGATAGTAGCAGCATGGATACAAAATTGGCTGAGTGAAAAGAAATGGCGAATAATGGTCACTGGATATTTTTTGAGTTGTAGGAAGTTTCATAGTGGAGTTACCCACGGCTCAGGATTTGAACAAAAGCCAAAATCGCCGGTGAAACTCAGAAGTCTGGCAGCATCTGTAGGGAGAAAGCAGAGTTAACATTTCAAGTCTAATGACTTATCATCAGTTTACCGGACTTGAAACAGTAACTCTGCTTTCTCACCAAAGATGGTGACAGACGTGCTGAGTTTCACCAGCAATTTCTGTTGGTGTTTTTGGTTCAGATGTCCATCTGCAGTCCTTTGTTTTACATCAGTAGTGGGAGCCCTGCTTTTCCTGCTTTATACTCATGGTCTAGATCTTGTTTTGTAAGGGACAGTTTCAAAGTTTGCAGATGACATGAAATTTGGAAGAGTTGTAAACTCTAAGCAGGAGAATGGAAAAGTCCACAAGTTCATAGACATGTTGGTGGAGTGGACAGATAGCTTACAAATGAAGCTCAGTGCAAGAACTTTGAGGTGATCAATTTTGACAGGAAAATAACATTGACAGACTGCATAACGTAGGGAGCACAATACATAAGAGGCACAGTAGCAGAGTGGTCTGTCCATATTTGCATAGATCATTGAAGGTGGCAGGATATGTAGAAAGAGTAGTTAATAAAGCATACGTATCTTGGGCTTTCATAACAGAGTTATTAGAGTCTAATAGCAAGAAGTTTATGCTGAACTTCTATAAGGTACCTGTTAAACCTCAGCAGGTGTACTCTGCATTGTTCTGAGTGCTACAATATTGGAAGAATGTGAACACATTAGAGTGCAGAAGAGTTTGACTAAAATGATTCCAAAGTGAGAAACTTAATTTATGAGTACACATTGGACAAGTTAGGATCGTTCTCCTTGGAGAGGAGAGGTCAAGAGAAGATGTGACAGAAGTTTTCAAACTCATGGGACATTTGGATAGAGTAGATAAGGAGAAACTGCACCCCTTGTAAAAGGATTGAGAACGAGATGGCTCAGATTTAAAGTGATTTGTAGATGTAATGAGGAGAATCTTTTTCACAGTTCAGGTCTGAATGCAAAGACTTGAAATGCAGTGGAGGCAAAGTCAATTGAGATATTGATGATTATTTAAATGGAAGGAATGTATGAGGATAGGGGGAAGGCAGGAGTCATAATTCCCGTTGGGGAAGCAGTGTAGACACAATGGGCTGAGTGGCCTTCTTCTGCATGGTAACAATCTGTGAATCTGTGACTTTCTCTTGTTTGTTTGTGGAATGTGGGTATTGCTGACTAGACCAACATTTTTGCTCAGGCAAAATTGCCCTCAGAAGCTCCTGCTCTCTTGAATTGCCAAAATCCATGGGGGCGTGGATACGCTCACTGTGTGGTCAAGAACAGGGTTCCAGCAACACGATAGGAATAATGATATAGTTCTGAATGATGTAAACCTTGGAGGGGAAATGCAGTTGGAAGGGATGCCATGCAGCATAAACAATTAATTCTGGGAATGCAAAAAGTTAGGCGGCACCTATGCAGAAAGCAGAGTTAATAGGCTAAAACGTATGGAGATTTTGGCAAGTGCTCTGCTGCCTTCTCTCACCAAGTGAAAAGTCAGCTGGAAGTGACTTTTCTATTCACTGCAGCCTTCCGGTGCAGTGAGCAGGATAAATTTCCTAATCGTGGGACTTGTGCTCACCACCAGCAGGAAGAGGTCCCAACCTTAGCCAGACAATCTGATTGACCGAACACTCCAACAGTGCCATGAGCTCAATAGTGGGCACTGCTGGTACTGCAGGCAAGGCCGCAACGTGGGACCAAGGGATCTGTAACTCCTGGATAATGGATGGAGGAAGGTTTGGAAATCTTCTGTTGGGTGTGGGTTTTGCAGCTTAGGTGGGGAGGGTGCTATGCTCAATTGGTGCCCCCAAACTGCAAAAGGGCAACCCCTGAAGCCAGCAGCCACCATTCCTTTCCACTTTTTTATACACACCTCTTATAAAAGAAAAGCTGATTTCCACCCACCTGCTTTGCAAAATCCACCTCAGACTTCCCACACTGAGTCTCCTTGGTCCCTTGCCAATGGTTCCCAGTTCTTTCCTAAAGGATCATTATTGAGCTGAAATGTTAACCTCATTCATCTCCCTGTTGAATCTGTCTGCCCTGTTGACTAATTCTAGGATTTCCTTACTTCTATCTCAACCTTTCAGCACCTGAAATTTTTTGCCTTTTTTTAATGCCTAGTCCCTCTTTTTCTTGGTTGTAGGGAATGCAGTTTATAAGGTACCCTTGCAGGAGACTTGCCGAGATGGTGAATGTTGAAGGTGTTCCATGGTGAGACAATTAAATAGGCTGCTTTGCCTTGGGCTATGTCAAGCTTTCTGAGATCAGCACCAACAAAGTCAGTAAGGCTCATCAATTGGATCGCCAAACAGTAGAATAGAAATCAGAAAAAAATGGTCATCAAACTTTACAGTGCTGTGGTCAGACCCGACCTTAACTACTACATCCGCTTCTTCCAAACAAAAAAGACAGACATATGGTCACCAGAGACTGTGATGCAAAGAGCCATAAGACTGACCCCAGAACTGGAGTTTTCAGTCATGAGGAAAGACTCAAGAGATTGTACTTTGCAGACTGCAAATCAGATAATTTGAGAGGTGACCTTATAGTGCTATAAAATGGAAGTTTATTCAGAATATTAAATTTATGAGATTAGGGAGCATGGCTTAAAATGAGGGAAGGCAATTTTAGAGTTTATATCTGGAATTCTTCAACACATGAAGAATGATTGACACACAGCACTAATTTCCAACATTGAGCAATGGAGCCTAAAACCTAGAAATCATTCAAGAAACAATCAAATGTTCCAATGTCAGAGTGTTCACCAATTACTAATGTCTAAATAAAGATGGAGTGATGACCTTCACCATCCAGGATAAAGCTGTGGTCTCTATGTTTATCGCCGCACTTACCCCCTATGATCGCAGCAATAAAAAGAAAATATTTTGACTAAGCTGGATGTCGCAGATTTAATTTAATAAAAACAATTGCAATGCTGTACAATTCAACAGAGAGAAGGTTGATGTGGAATATGTATTATCTAGGAATGTAGTTGAGGTAATGGGAAGGGAGAGATCTTGGGGAGTTTTATGAACATGTTGCAAATATCATTAGTACAATGTTACCAGGAAGATAAAACAGTGAATAGGATGTTTAAATGCATGGAAAGGATCATAATATATAAATCCACAGAGGTACTGGACCTGACTGAGATCACAGATGGAGAAAATCGTAAATTCTCTACAGTATGGAAGCAGGCCATTCAGCCCATCAAGTCCACACCAACCCTCTGAAGAGCATCCCACCCTCCCTACAACCCTGAATTCCCCACAGCTAATCCACCTAAACTGTACATCCCTGGACACTACGTGCAATTTAGCATGGCCAGTCCACCTTATCTGTATGTCTTTGGACTGTGGGAGGAAACTATACTGCCCGGAGAAAACCCACACAGACACAGGGAGAATGTGCAAACTCCACGCAGACAGTCACCTGAGGGTGGAATCAATCCCGGGCCTCTGGCGCTGTGAGGCAGCAGTGCTAACCACTGAGCCACTGTGCTGCTACATGCAGTTTTGATCTTTTACTTCAGAAAAGGTAAAAGGAACACAACTAATTCTCGACATTAAGTGAACGAGAATAAATCAAGCCAACAGGATATTTTGTATTTAAGAAAAGATAAATTATTCATATCCTTTTTATGCCTGTTTTGAAGGTTTGAATGTTATGGTTTTCCCATATAATACTTGCTAATTTTCCATTTCATTTTAGGCTGGGATTTATTGGTTTCATTTAATGGATTATTTCTGTACTGGATGGATTCTCATTACAGTTGGTCTGTTGGAACTCCTTGGTCTCAGCTGGGTCTATGGTAGGTAAGACTGGAAAAAAAGGCTAAAACAAAACAATTACAATTGAAAAGTATTTGTGACAATGCTTTCACCTCTTCAGAGAACAGTACAAAATCTACACCGGACAATGTGTAGATAACTATAGGGTTTAACCTGTTAGTGAGGGTTTAAACTTGAGTCCAATGACACAGGCAAAGGTGTAGGATTGTAAAATTCTTGAACTAATTTTATTGAACTGTGTTTCAAAATCACGAGGCTATGAGTATCACTCTGATAGCAGATGTAACAGGTAAACACCATCATGCATGTCCCACAGTGAACAGCAAAATTTACAAACTAATTACTTTCTATTCCATTGTGTCCTCATTTGATAATTACTCCACAGCAACTAATCCTTCCAATCCAACTGGCCTATGGCATGTTTGCATTCATTAGAAGGGGTGCTGAGTATAAGGAATAGGTATGTTATGCTGCAGCTTTATAGAACTTTGGTTAGGTCACACTCGGGAATATTGCATACAGTTTTGGTCACTACACTATCAGAAGGATGTGTCAATACAGTGTGGAGCTGGAGGAACACAGCAGGTCAGGCAGCATCAGAGGAACAGGAAAGTCGACGTTTCAGGTCAAGATCCTTTTTCAGAACTTCTCTGATGCTGCCTGACCTGCTGTGTTCCTCCAGCTCCACACTGTGTTGACTCTGGCTCCAACATCGGCAGTTCTTGATATCCACCAGAAGGATGTGGATGCTTTTGAGAGGGTACAATAAAGGTTTACCAAGATTTTGCCTTGTATGAGGATTTTAACTATGAAGAAAGGTTGGATAGACTTGGCTTCGTTTTCACTGGAATGCAGGAGGTTGAGGGGCGACCTGACAGAAGTTTAGATGATTGTGAGTGACATGGATAGAGTGGTAAGTATCAGCGTTTTTCCTGGGGTGGAGGGGTCAATTACCAGGGGACACAGGGTGGGGGGGAATGTTTAAGTGAGATGTGCGAGGCAAGTTACTCACACAAAAGGTGGAACATGCTGCCAGAGGAGGTGGTGGTAGCAGACACAATAGCAGCGTTCAAGAAGCTTGTGGACGAATACATGAATAGGAAGGAAATAGAGCGATACGGATCCTGCAAGTGAAGACAGTTTTAGTATGGAAGGGCAAATATGTCGACGCAGGCTTGGAGGGCCGAAGGGGCTGTTCCTATGCTGTATTGTTCTTTGTTCTTTGTTCAATTTGTATTTTATCTTTTGAAATCCAGGACAACTGACCTTTTCCTTCAAGGTCCCTGTTTTCATTGAAACTGGGATATCAGAAAATCACAAATCTAGTTAATCTGGATGATTATTATCAAACGGACTGTAAGGTCAGTCTGAACACATGCACGCATGCACACGCACATTCATGTGTACACATGTACACGCACATGTACACACACGCACACGCACGTACACATGCACGTGTACGCACACACATGCACACATACACATACATGCATGCACGCACACGCATGCATACACATGCACACACACACGTACATATGCACACATATACATGCACATATACGCACATACACATACACATGCCTACATGTACACACATGCGTGCATGTGCATACACATGCATACACATGCATTCATGTGCGTACGCACATGTACACGCAACTCACACGTGCACCCGTACACCATACACATGCACACACACCCTCATATATATATATATCCAGGCCTCTTTATTTAACTAACATAAAAACTTAAACTTTCCCTCACAATTTCTGCTTTACATCAAGCAGCAGACTGAAAAGGGTAACACAGTGTGGAGCTGGAGGAACACAGCAGGCCAGGCAGCATCAGAGGAGCAAGAAAGTTGACATTTCGGGTCGCGACCCTTCTTCAGAAAAGGGTGACATGTTTGTTGATGAGCATTACAATGTTCCAGTCTCTGTTCACATCTTCAGTATCAGTCACAAACGTGGGAGGGAATACAACTTTTGATATGTTGACCTCTGCTTTAAACTGTTCATTAGTGGCACCAGTAGAAGATGAACTTTAACAGTAAACAAGCTGCCCCGAAGACAGGACAGAGTGAGTGATTCAGAGATAGTAGGAACTGCTGATGCTGGAGAATTGATACCAATGGTACTAATATGGACTTCACAAGCTCCAAAATCTCCCCGCCCCTGACCGCATCCCAAAACCAGCCCAGCTCGTCTCCGCCTCCCTAACCTGTCCGTCCTTCCTCCCACCTATCCACTCCTCCCACCTCAACTCTCACCCCCACCTCCTACCTACCAGCCTCATCCCACCTCCTTGACCTGTCCGTCCTCCCTGGACTGACCAACCCCCACCCTAACTCCCCACCTACACTCACCTTTACTGACTCCATGCCCGCCTCCTTGACCTGTCCATCTCCTCTCCACCTACCTGCTCCTCTATCCATCCTCCATCTGCCTACCCCTCTCCATTTATTTCAGAATCCCCTTCCCCTCCCCCATTTCTGAAGAAGGGTCCAGACCCAAAACGTCAGCCTTCCTGCTCCTCTGATGCTGCTTGGCCTGCTGTGTTCATCCAGCTCTACACCTTGTTATCACAGAGTGAGTGATGGTGTCTCTCTGCTTTCTTGTTGTTCATAGGGATAAATAGATTCATCAAGGACATTGAGATGATGATTGGGGAAAGGAATTGGTTCTTCTGGCTGTGGTGGAGAGCGTGTTGGATTCTGATCTCTCCGTGTGTTTTAATTGTAAGGAGATGTTATATCTTTGAGTGATTAAACTGAATGTAAAAATGTACAGTAAGTCCCTCTCATCATGTTACTGAATTTATTTCGTGTGTTTATTTCACTCAGGCAATCTTAATCTGGTCCGTAACAACATTTGCCCCTCCAACATACGGACCTGTTGAATACCCTGTCTGGGCAATAGCACTGGGCTGGTGTATGATCACCTTCTGTACTATGTGGATTCCCATCGTGGCCGTAGTGAGAGTTGTCCAAGCTGAGGGCTCCACCTTGTGGCAGGTAAGGAAATGTTTTAAAGATCAGGGAATAGAATTTCTGTGACAGTCTCTCAGTCTCCCACTTTACAGCAGCTTGTATTAGTATAGCACCTATGCTGCTAGAGTATGTCCGACTGCACTCCAAAGGAGTGTCATAAAGCAAAATCTCACACGAAACCTTATGAGGAATTACAGGATAGAAGACCAGAAGCTTAGCCGAACTGATAGGCGTGAAGAAGTGTTGGAAAGGACAAAAGAGAAGTAGAGAGGTGGAAATGAATGGAGCAATTCCAGAGTTTAGATCCTTGACTGCTAGAGGAAAAATTGGAGGAGTGTAGATACCTTCAATATTGTGGGACTAGAGGTGATTAGAGGGAAGGTCATGGATGTCAATGGAAAAGGCAGCCATGTCTTTGCAGAGTCTGAACCAAATTGAAGTCATTTAAAGATGGCAAAGGGCTCTGATTCCAGAATTCAGCCCCCTTCCAGATGTGGCCAATTTTTGCTGGTCCAGGATAAGTGCATAGCTAACAATCCTGCACCACTGCATTCCTGACCTGACTGGTTCCAGGGAGTGAAAAGCAAGTTGGGACAACTTCTCCATGGCTCCGGTTCGGAGCCTCTCGCAGGCTGTAGACATTAATCTGGGTTTGGGAATTTTGTGAAAGGTGAGGACAAAACCTCTTATCTATGCCCGTTCTGTGTGCCTGGTTCCACTGAATCCTAACCCATACTCATTCACCCAGTTGATATTCAAAACAAGATTTGTGAATGGGTATTTGGTTTTGTCAGCAGCTCCACAGTTGTCATTGTTTTTCTAAAGACCATTGATTACATGTATAGTACATAATTGGTGAATGGGAATGGAAGGGATGTGTGTTGACATTAAATTTTGCACGTGTTTGTAAGACACTGGGGAGACTGAGTTTTGGAAGAAGGGCACTGAAATATTGCTCAGTTGGCATGGAAGCTGTAATGAGCCATGAAATGGAGTGGTCAGTGCGTATTAAGGGTGAGGAAGGAGAGCCTAAAGTCTTCTAACACAACTGGGTCGAAATCCCAGCAAAATGATGAGCACCTTCTAACCAGCTCACCTTAGCACTTGGCTACCTAAGTGCTTGCTGATGCTTTGTTTCTGAGGTCAATGAATCTGACTCCATCCCACACTCAACCCCTTCTGCAATTCCATTCCACATTCCTCCCCTTTGTGGGTCAAGAAGCATCTTCTTAGTTCTCTATTGCATGTTGAGGTTACTATCTTATATTGGTAGCATTTAGTTATGCTTTTCTGCACAAGCGGAAACAATCTTTCTGTACCCACTCTGTCAAACCTTTCATCATTTTAAAGATCACTATTCAGCCACTCTTAAACTTCTTGTTCAGGAGAAAAGAGAGCCACACTGTGAATTCTTGCCTCATATGTACACCATTGCATGTCATCCTGGTAACTCTTCTCTGTACCTATCTTTGTATCCTTTTTATAACATGGCGAGCAAAACTGCTTGCTGTATTCTAACTATCAAGGTTCAATACAGTTCAGCACAACTTCACCATGTTTCAATTCTAGCCCATTTGAAATAAATCATCATGCTTCATTTGCCATTTCTGGGCTTGTTAAACAATGACACAACTTTGATTGTTTGTTATATTTGTATCCAAGATCCCTTTGGTCCTTTATCCCATCTAGAACAATACCTTCCAAGTAACTAATTATCTCCCTAGTCTTCCCACCAATTGTATCATCTTGAATGTTGAATTCCACATTGCAAATTATTTGTTGATTCTGCAAGGTGACTCAGCCTTGGGTGTGACATTGATGTATAGACTGCTGACACACATAAATGCATCCATTAGTTTACGTTGTTCAAACATTTACTGCAGCCTGGTCTGCTTACTAGGCTGTCTTTTGAGCAGAAGCTGCCCTTCCCTCAGGACTCCTTGGAATGTCTCACTCTGTCAGCAAGGCATGTGTGTGTGTGTGTGTGTGTGTGTGTGTGTGCCTGGAATCGTTCTCCCAATCCAGTGAACCATGGACCAAGCGTTTTGGTGGGGAAGTCCAAGTTTCAGGGCCAGTGTTCAGGAATCCACACATAGCCATCAGTTCCAAGGCAGGATGTTGGGCCTCAGACCTCTGCAATCAAATGGGAATGATGCAGGGAAGTGACTGGTATTTACAGGCTGCAGGAGGCAAAAGTCGTTCTCTTGTTGGGGTCACAATTGACAGGGTAAGCATTGTCAGGATACCTCCGAAGTGCCTCTCACTGTTTCTCAGCAGGAGATAATGGGGAAATATTAGCATCCACACAGCTTATGATACTGGGAGGTAAGTCACTGAGGATCTTCAGCCATTGCAATGGTACGATGTGGGATCCTAGAGTTCTACAGGGCTGTGTGGAGAGCAAGAGAGAGATGCCAGAATGAGAATACTTATATCAGGTAGATTGTCAGAAACCTGGGGAAGCTTCTCCAAATTGAATGCATCCTGATCCACCTGCCCTTTAATGGAGGGATGGCCCAAAACATCACGGGAGCACCCTGCGTGTTACACATTGGCCTGGTAGCCTTTGTAACCATTATGTCGAATTTGCCTTTTGTCCTTGTTTGTATGGGCTTATTATGTTTCAGCAAGGAGGATAACTGCTGCAACTGCAGTTTTACAAAATTACTCAGAGCATACTGGAAAATAGTGCAAATGCTTTGGTTTTCTGACTGACCCTGATTTCTAGCAGTGTGCGGACCTGGTTTATTAAATTACCAGGTTCGCAGTGGGTCTGTCCCTTCAGGCAGTCTGAGCCTTCCCTATTTCTGAGCACTGCTAGTTGCTGACAGGCCTCTCTGATGGCTATATGGGTACAATTGAGTGTACCCTGAAATCCTTCGATGGCAGCACATGGACTGCACCAGCTGCTTGTCTCCCTAGATTCAGAGCAAGTTAATGAATTGGTTCCCCCTAACAAAGAGAGCATCAGTCACTTCCCTGATATATTTCCGTGTAGATGCCTGTGAGATCTCCAGCAGGTCCCTGAAATGGTCCACTGGTGTATAAGTCAAGGATCACTGTTGCCTTCAAGGCAACCAAAGATTGGATTCCATCCTAGTCCATGAGAAGACCAGCAGATGTAGAAGACGACATCCTGGGACACTCAAGACATCATCAGCACTGGTTTATGGAAAGCTGCTCCAGACCTGTAGACTTGTAATCTTTCAGTCCGATGCTTGTCATGGGCACTCTTGAGCTGGCTGCTGTGCCCCTACAGGCTGGTATGCAATGGTGCTAATTCCTGTTGCTGCTACTACTGTTGGAGGTGGTGACAAACAAGATGGCCAGGAGAATGATAGAATTGATCTGCGCCAAAGTGGTGTTACTTTCACGTGATCTGTGGAGACAGTGCCATGCATATCGCCATGTTTATCTGAGACTCTCACACTGCCATCTTTCTCCATCATGCCTGGCAGAGCCCGTCACCTCACAACGTTTCCCACCCAGCTTCCTGCAGAACCATCACGTGTCCGTCTGGAAGGTGCTTCCTGTGTGGTTTAGGAGGACAGCTTCTTGTGGCAGCAGGCATTGCCAGGATACTGAAAACCTGTCACTGCTCCTTCCCAACAACAGTAATCAGCTTCCCTCTGAGAGCATGAATGAAAACTCTTCTAATGTGGCATTGGCATGATGGCACTACATCACCCACCCTGTCACTTAATGCCCAAACACTACCACCCTTCCCCTTGTTTGGCAGAGGCATCAGGCCAGGATGCCAGAATAAGCAAGGCTTGTGATGGTTGCCCTCTGCTAACAGGGCAGCCTCTGAATAGCATTTGCTTCCTTTACTGTAAAGCTTATTGCATAGCTTTTTTTTCATTCGTTCACGGGATGTGGGTGTCATTGGCCAGGCCAACATTTATTACCCATCTCCAACTGCCCAGCAGGCAGCTTTCTGAAGAACGTTAGTGAACCAGATGGGTTTTTACAATAACTGACAATGATTAAATGGTTGCCATTGGGCCGGATTTTGTTTTCAGATCAAGGTATTCTTACTGAATGATGGAGCAGTCTTGAAAGGAGAGTGGCCTACTCTTGTTGTTTGTTTGTGTGTTCGAATGTTAGGTGGCAATCAGCTGACCCTGGCTCCATCACTGTACAGTATATAATCTCAGTGGGATGTGACCATTGAGTATTGTTGCTATGCTAGCGCTGTAAATATTGAGGGCAGCTCACCATCCACTGGACTTCCGCAAGGGGCCCCACCGGGGGTCAAAACATGCACGATGTAACTGCATCTTTCTCCCAGGTGAAAACTCCTCCCACTTTGGGTGCTGCCATTTGCGTTGGAAAGAATGTTGTGCAGCTCCTTCCAAAGAAGTCATGATGTGGAGGTGCTGGTGTTGGACTGGGGTGGTCAAAGTCAGAAATCGCACGATACCAGGTTATAGTCCAACAGGTTTATTTGAAAGCGCAAGCTTTCAAAGCACTGCTCTTTCATCAAGTGAAGTGTGAGAGAAGAGCACACAGGCACGGAATTTATAGGCAGAGAGATCAAGGGCAGAGAGATCAAAAGATCATATAACTGGTGTGAGTGGAATGTTGAATAATAATAAATCCCTGCAGGTGACCAGGAGTGTTAGATGGTTTGAGTAAAGTGTCAACAGCTGAATAACAAATGAAGGGATGACCTATAACCACATAACGTATTTAGACAGGACAAGAAAAAGCCAGTGTGGATCAACTGCGCTTTTGTGGGATAGCATAATAACTGTAGCAAAAATGGTTACAGGAGTTGGCGAATTTGATGCGAAATTCATATGGATAGAGACGGCAGATAATGGAGGATTAATCACAATAATGGTGATAGGGAAGTTGAGGAAATTAGGGTACCAAGCAGAACACAACGCCATCCATGCTCTCAACACCAATCACAACATCGCCATCAAACCAGCAGACAAAGGAGGAGCCATCGTCGTACAGAGTAGAACGGACAATTGCAGAGATGTGTAACGACAACTGAACAACCAGGAACACTACAGATAACTACCTGCTGATCTGACCAAAGGTCGCACCCGTCCAATCAATGGACCAATCAAGATCTTTGATCCAGACCTTCAGAGTATCCTATGCACTCTCATCTGCGTACTTATTGAATATAAGACTTCTATTGAGGTGTCCGCCCTTGATGGAGATGCGTGTGACCAAGAAATGAGACTAATTCGAAGAGTAGTCCATGGTAAGTCTGATGGTGGGATGAAACTTCTTGATATCGCTATGTAGTTGTTTCTGAAGATACACAAAGCCAACACACCTAGACGTCCCATCGTATCAGGCAATGGGACCCTGCGTGAGAATCCCTCTGACTATATCAAGGACATCTTGAAACCCACAGTGCCAGGCACCCGGGTTCGATTCCACCCTCGGGGGACTGTTTGTGTGGAGTTTGCACATTCTCCCAGTGTCTGCGTGGGTTTCCTCCAGCTGGTCCGGCTTCCTCCCACACGCCAAAGATGTGCGGGCTAGGTGGATTGGCCATGCTAAATTGTCCCATAGTGTTCAGGGATGGTGGGTTATGGGTTATCAGGAATGGGTCTGGGTGGATGCTTCAAGGGTTGGTGTGGACTTGTTGGGCCGAAGGTCCTGTTTCCACACTGTAGGGATTCTATGATAATTAAATGAGGCAGAGAGATAATTAGAAGAAATTAAAAATAAAGTGGAGCCGGAGACAAACTAAATGACTGGAGTACCATGATAGCTATAAGAGTTGCATGCGAGAGTCTAACCAAAGTCATAAGTAATCCAAAACTGTACAAACTAATTAAGGTAGAGAGATCACAACAATTTATCAAGGTGATGGTGTCAAAACAGGACTGTAAGGAAAATTTTACAGATACAGAACAGTGTGGTGGGGTCACATGTCGTGCAACATGAACCCGAGATCGTGGTTGAGGCCGTCTTCATGGGTACGGAACTTGGCTATCAGTTTCTGTTCAGCGATTCTGCGTTGTTGTGTATCTTGAAGTCTGCCTTGAGGACACTTACCCGAAGATCAGAGGCTGAATTTACTTGACCGTTGAAGTGACTGGGAGGGAACATTCCTGTCTGGCAATTGTTGCGTGGTGTCCATTCATCCATTGTCGTAGTGTCTGCATATTCTTGCTAATATAACCATGCCTGAGATAGACCACATGGGCTAAGTTCCATGAGTATCTGCCATGTACATGGTGGGTGGCATTCCCACATGTGATGGCTGTTTCCATGTCGATGATCTGACATGTTTTACAGAGGTTGCTGTGGCAGGGGTTGTGTGGTGTTGTGGTCGATGTTGGGCTGAAGGCTGGGTAATTTGCTGCGAACGATAGTCTGTTTAAGGCTCGGTGGTCATTTGCAGGCGAGAAGTGGAGACGTAGGGATGATCTTGGCGAGATGTTCATCGTCATCAATGAAATGTTAAAGGCTGCGAAGAACATGGCATAGCCTCTCCGCTCCGGGAAGTACTGGACGATAAAGGGTACTTTATCGTTCGTATCCTGTGTCTGTCTTCTGAGAGAGTCATTGCAGTTTTTCACCTGTGGTATGTCGGAACTGGTGATTGATGAGTTCAGCATCATACCCTGTTCTTATGAGGGTGTCCTTCAAAACCTTTAGGTGTCCGTCGTATTCCTCCTTATCTGAGCAGATCCTGTGTTTGTGCAGCGCTTGTCCATATGGGATGGCTTCTTCAATATGTTTAGGGTGGAAGCTAGAGAAACGCAGCTTTGTGAGGTTATCTGTGGGCTTGTGGTACTGAGGTGTCCGTCCTTGATGGAGATGCGTGTGACCAAGAAATGAGACTGATCCGGAAGGGTAGTCCATGGTAAGTCTCATGGTGGGATGAAACTTGTTGATACCGCTATGTAGTTGTTTCAATGATTCCTTGCCATCAGTCCAAAGGAAGAAAATGTCATCAGTGTATCTGGTGTATAGCGTTGGGTCAGAGGTCCTGCGTAGCAAAGAAGTGCTCAAACTTGTGTATGAAAGTGTTGGTATATCAGGGTGCATATTTGGTCCCCATGGCTGTTCCGTGTACCTGATGAAGAACTGGTTGTCAAAGGTGAAGACGCTGTGGTCAAGGATGAAGTGGATGTGTTGTAGGATGGTGTCTGGAAATTAGCAGTTGTTGGTATTGAGTACTAAGGCTGTTGCAGTGATGCTGTCGTTGTGGGGGATGCTGGTGTAGAGTGCTGAAACATCCATTGTGACAAGGAATGTTCCTGGTTCGACAGGTTCGTGAGTACTCAGAGTCTGTGAGAAGTCTGTAGTGTTGTGACAGAAGCTGGGGGTTCCTTGTACAATGGATTTCAAGATGTCCTCGACATAGTGCAGAGGTTCTCACACAGGGCCCCTCTGTCCAATACGATGGGATGTGCAGGTGTCTTGGATTTGTGTATCTTCAGAAGGCAGTAGAAGTCTTCTATGCAATAAGTATACAGATCAGAGTGCATAGGATACTCTGAAGGTCTGGATCAAAGATCTTGATCGATCTGTTGATTTGACGGGTGCGTTCTTTGGTCGGATCAGCAGGTCGTTATCTGTAGTGTTCCTGGTTGTTCAGTTGTCATTACACTTCTTTACAATTGTCTGTTCTACTCTGTATGAGGATGGCTCCTCCTTTGTCTGCTGGTTTGATGATGATGTTGCGATTGGTCTTGAGAGCATGGATGGCGTTGCGTTCTGCTTGGTACCCTAATTTCCTCACCTTCCCTATCACCGTTATTGTGATTAATCCTCCATTATCTGCCATCTCTATCCATATGAATTCTGCATCAAATTCGCCAACTCTGTAGCCATTTTGCTATAGTTATTATGCTATCCCACAAAAGCGCAGTTGATCCACACTGGCTTTTTCTTGTCCTGTCTAAATATGTTACGTACAGCAGTCTTTCATTTCCATTGTCCGTAACCATTTCCCTGTGGGCATTACTTTAGAGACATTTTCTTTCAATCAGATTGCCTCTTAGTTTATGTTTGGACCATTTTTAAACTCTAGTTCTATAACTGTTTTTCTTCCCTTCCCATCAATATCCTGCCAGACTTTCATCTTCTTTATGCTCTCCCTCCTTGTTTGTTTCCACTCAGAAAAGTCAATGGTTTTGCCAATAAGTTTGGCTGTCTCTTTCAGTAAGTTCTGCTTGGCACTGTTTCTTGAACCCCAATAGCCCATGTTGTCATGTGTCTCCAGAATGAGTGAGCAGGGAAATGTTAAAAATAAGACAGATCAATTAGTGATGTGTTCTCAATCAAATGATCATCTTTTAAATGTAGCATTTCATGAATTTAAATAAATTGATGACTCAGTAACTCTGTTTAAACTGACATGACAGTGCCTGCAATAAAGTTTTTTTTAACATCATTCAACTTAATTTCAGGATTATTTAGATGTGATACATGTTTCTCTAGAGCATTTCGTTGCAAGTGAATACCACTGCCTGAGAAATTCAGTCAGTTTAGACATGGGAGTATGATCTCTGCAATAAATGCAGATTGAACATGTTTCACTACAATTTGAATTGCCAAGTGTTGGAACAATTTACAATTTAATGTGATTAGGCACAGCTTTCATTTCCAGTGGAATTTAACAATAGATAAATATTGTGCAGGAATTGTTAAATATTTCACTTTGTTTCCACAGAAAATTTCTGCCGCATGCGCGTCAGCTCCTGAATGGGGACCATACCTGGAACAACACAGAGGGGAGAGATACAGAAAGAAGCCGGATTCTACAGAAGCCCTGAATCATGTGCAACCTCTTGCCACTCCTCAGATTTGAGGAAGTTTAAGAAAACTTCTTGTTCAATTGGATAGCAATGGCCCTGAAAATTCCCCTTTCTGGTTTACTCTCACTGTAACTGCAATGGGAATTCTTCAGAGCAGTCTTCAACTCCACCAGGATAACCTTGAGTAAAATTTTCTTTGATCTTCTTCACCTTTTAGGCAGCTCCTTGGGGTTGAGGATGACTCGCCTTTTTTCCAGTTTGATGATTTCTGAGATGGCTGATAAATTCAATGCATGATCTTTAAACTCAGCCTCATGTGGACTCCTTGTGTTTGAAGGGGTTTAAATGGGCTGTTTGAGGCTTAGTGCACTCCTTCTGATGCTTTAACTTCACTTCTGTGCATTCTGCATCAAGTCTCTTGATGTCTTCAAAGTCTTCCCAGATGAGGCTTCACCATTTTGGGTTGTTCACAAGCTAGGCACTCCTATGAGGCAGCAGAGGACTTTGATCTCCTCAGGGAATGCTTTGAGGACATTTGTAAGTGTTTCTGCTGTCCATGTGGCAGTGTCCTGCAATGACAGAGTCTGAATAGAATAGTTAGGGGGATCTGGTGTCAGGCATGTGAAAGATATGTCCTATTCAGTGGAACTGATCAGTAATTACACATCTGTAGGGAATGGAACCAGTTGCATCTTGTTGACTTCGAGATCATTGTTTGGGCTTGCTAACCTGGACCAATCAGGAAATCACTGGCTGACCAATATAACCAGGAGATTTAGAGGCCCCTTGGTTCATGGGACTGACTCCAAGCAGGTTGGTCACAGCCAGTGTACTGTGTGCAAATAAATAAATAAATAAATAAATAAAGGGTGACTTGGTGATGGGATACTGACCTCTGTGCAGTTATTTCAATTATGATGGGAGAAAACAGTATGTGCCTGAACAGAGCTCACTTGCAGCAGTCATTGTGCAGTTGTGGTAAGCATTTCTGGCATTATGCCTTTATTTAGGAAGCTTGACTTGTTTGATCCTGCTGCTGAAGACTGGGCCCTAAATGTAGGAATAATGTGTTTTTTTTCTCTCTCTGGGCAAATGACACTGGGGCAGATCAAAAGCAATGAGTAATCCTTCTGACTGCTTATGGACCTGCAGTATTTTTGGTTATAAGGGGCTTAATTTTCCTAGAGGCATCAAACACTATCACCTTCCAAGAGTTGACAGAGTTGGTTAAGGAATATTAAAACCCCAAACCTCTTCTTATTCTGATATGCTATTGGTTTCTTTTGGTTGAATCTGTGTCAGGATTTTTCATTGAGGTTAAGATGACTTGCAGAGGCATGTGATTTTTGGGTTAAGACTGAATGAGATGCTGAGAGACTGTTTGGTATGTGGGATTAATAATGTAACCATGCAGATATGCCTACTAGCTGAAACCCAACTGGACTTCAAACAGGTGCTACAATTGCCTCTGTCATTAGAAAATGCAGCAAGTGGAGCATGGGAGCTACAGGGCATCTCAATGGAAGCGGACACCCTCCCCTCTCTGACTGAGCTTGCGTGTAGGTAATTGCAGATCCCCATGCAGGGTGTATCCTGAGCAGAAGGACCCAAGCCAACCCACAGCAGAACCCCACAACAAAGCTAAGCCTTGGCCAAGTGGCTAAAAATTCTTGTGGATCTGGGCTAGCAAGCCACTGTAATTGCTGTTGGTATGTGGACTTGAGACAGCAAAGGAGTCCTACAAGGCTTGTAGGACTCAAGGGGGGTGGAAAAAAACTTGTAGGCCTGTACCCAGGAGAGTGCACACCCTGGAAAGTCCCCCTACATGTGGGTTGGCACAATTAAATTGCTTAGTGACATCCAAATTGGAACTGATTAAAATGAATGTTTGGTTAAATGGTCAACCAGTTCCCACGGAGGTTGATATTAGTGCAGCTGTACCTATGGTTGCAGACTCTGGTTTTAACCAGTTTTGCTCAGGACTCCACACCTTAAGTTTGTGTAAGACCTCAGCCAGACTGAGACCATACAGTGGGGAAACTGTTGCAGATTAAGGGTATGAATTTGGTCCCAGTCTCCGATGAGAAGCAGTTGGTGCAGTTAGCAGTGATGGTAGTAAAAGACTTGGGCCCACACCTATTGGGGCAGGATTGTTTGAGAGATTCACCTGGATTGGTTTAACATTTTTGATTAGAAATGGCTGACTCAGTGAAGTCCTAGTGAAATACCCAGGAGTATTTCAGGAAGGGCTTTGGAGTATCAAAGGGGCCAAAGCCACTTACAGGAAGCAATTCCAATTTTTTTTTAATTTGCAAGGCCCAACTGGTGCCATTTGCCTTGCAGGCAAAAGCAGAGGTGGAAATCAGGAGGCTGGAGAGCAAAGGAATCATCAAACTAGTATAATTTGGCAAATGGGTAGCACCAGTCATACCAATTATGAATCCTGATGGCCCTCAGTTTGCCTTTGTGCAGATTTTATGTAAATGGTAAACCGTTTCTCGCAGCTAGATTAAAAACCCAATCCCTTGTTTAGAGAACTTGTATGCAAAGTTGGCAGGAGTGCTGTCCTTTACAAAGCTGGACATGAGCCATGCCTACCTACAAGTACAACTGGATGAGGAGTCCCAGAATTGTGCTACAATAAACATCCATAAGGGTTTATATCAATATACAAGATTGCCATCTGGGGAAAACATTAACTAAACTATTAACAAACCAAATAAACCACTTTTAACTACTAACTATTCCCAAATAATGCAAGATTCTAATGGTATGCAGTTCCAATAAATATAAATCCCACTTGTATAATAAAAAAAGTAGAATTTAGTGTCTCAAAATTACAGCCAGGTTACATCTTCCAGAATGTTCTGTGCCTTTTCTGTTGAATGTTCTGTCAGGATTATTAACTAGTTGTGCCATTGGTACCTTTGATATTTTAGATAGTGCTTCCAAGACCTATAGGAGTCTTGAGAGCTCGTGATTCTCTCTTGAGCTGAGATCTATTAACTCTGGCAGATGGCAGTTAGTTCTCCTGTCTTTACCCAACTGCTCCTTCTCTTATACCTTGATGACCTATCAATTTCTTACAATAGGATTGGTCCTATGTCGTCAAAACCATCAGATTTAAATTTAATTGGTTTTTGGTATCCAAGTGCCTGGTTCAAATTAACTGGTTAAATTCAAAACTTTTTGTCTTGTTTTAAAAACTGCTGCTTAGCCTGATAAATGCATGCCCTTTTGATACAAATGTTTCAATTTGGGCCCTGTCTGTGTACTTGCAAACTTTCAAGCTGCTGCTCACAAACCTTTTTAATCTCTAAGCATATGAAAAAGCACATCTTTTAAAGGGTCCACACAATTCCTTTCCCCTAGCATTTTGCCAACATGAAATTGTAACTTCCTGCCTCCCAAGCTATGACTACTCTACCCAACTTCGCAACACAACTCCAGGTTGTCATTTATCTGGATGACGTATGAAGACAGGGAAAATCAATACACAGCACTTGGATAACTTGGACAAAGTGCTTAAACCTTTGTCTCCCAGGCAGGTGTATGCCTTAGATGGGGAAAAATGGGTTCCAGACAACCCAAGTGATCTACTTGAGTCAGAGTCAACAAAACTGGGTTATATCCATTGGAAGATAAAGTGAGGGCAATCAAAGGAGTGCTGGCTCCCACGTCTGTGCCGAAGCTTAGGTTTTCACTTGGATTAGTGAATTATTACAGAAAATGCGTGATCTGCCCTCCACATTGGCACCCTTGCCCCTGCTATTGAAAAAAAATGAGCCTGGGAAACAGTCTCATAGCCAAGAAGTAGCCTCTAGGGCATTGCAAAAGCAGCTATTGTCAAATAACGTGTTGCCCACTACGATCTGAAGTGAGGTAGTGCTGACATGCAATGCCTCCCTGTACAGTGTTGGGGTAGTGTTGGCTCACTGCTGGCACAACAGACAAATGCCCAATAGCGTGCACTTCACAGCGCTCTGAAGTCGGGTCACTGGATCTGAAAAGTTAATTCTCGGTTAGTACAAAACTACTCAGTTACAACAAGCAGTGCACTTTTGTCAGTGTGTCATGCTTCAAGTGGCCCCAGTCAAGATGGATTCTGAGACCTTTATACTCTTAGGTCACATAATTATGCAGGGTTTATTTTTTGTCTTAAAGGATAAACTTGCCTACTAACAGTGGGTCACAAAACAACACTCCCCTCTGAAATAAACTGGAAAGTCTCTCAGTTGTGACTCATTGCTCTGATAGTAAAAATAAACCAGATAAACTGCCTGGCATTGGAAACAGCAAGGACACAATGTGCCCAGTCAATGCTGCAAACTCTTCCGCAACAGAATCTGGGCGAGCTCTCCACCACATTGTTCTTGCTGAATCATAGCTTGCAGCCCACATCTCGGAATCTTCTGTCTCCTCCCCTGAAATGGTGAGTTACTATCTGGAGACATTGGCAAGCCTTCATATCCCAAGATTCCACCCATGGACAGAAATCTCTTCTCAGTGGCTCCTCTGGTCTTCTTGGATGCTATCTCTGGTGGATTTATCTCACTCTGTGCAGATCATTAATTAATCACTGACAACATTTGACATTTTTTTGAATAGAAACAGTAATGACAAGCTTGCTGGACCAGTTCCCTCAGTCAAAGTCTTCATCTGACAACTGGTGTTTATTTGTTTGATATTTTATTGGCTTGGCCTTCTCAGTGTAACAACAGCAGTAGGTTGCAATTTAGTCATTTGCTATGTTTCCACATGAGCAATAAACCCTCTCTAGACCAAAATACTCTGTAAAATGAGAAACCTTTTCATTAATTACCATGAATTCAAGTTCAAGGCTTCCAGCATTTAGAGCACCAGCTCTGGTTTGGTTTGTACCAGGCATGATATAAAAACAGTCAGCAATCCAGAATAAGAAGAATTAACTGGGGGAGAGCTGACTTGAATGGAGCTGTGCCAGAGACTGGAATAAATGTATCGTGGGAAAAACAATCGTTGAACAATGGGCTAACTTCAAAATAGTCAGAGCTCCCATGACACCAGGTTATAG